CGCGTAATGCCTCTGCTTAGAAAAATAAAGCTCGAGCGACGATAAATCTTGCGACGTCCATTCTTTTATCTCTTGCCGGCGACCAAGCGATCTAGGAAATATCCTCGCGACGATTTCTGCTCGTTAAGCTGAACCTAACCAAGTTCAAAGTTGATAGCGACGATCGAATTGAATGTGAATTCCCGCGAAATTGTAACAACGATCGAATTCAACAGCACAGTCGAGTTCTAAAATTACGTCGAAGAAACGTAATTTTCCACGCGAATGAGTCGCCAAAGCCAAAAGCCCGGAACTGTCAGCTGAAAGTGATTCGTTCGGGAAAGTGTCGACCTTCGAATTGAAGTAAGATCGTCATCGATCTTCGAAAATCCTCGCGAAACTTTGCTCCGTCACGAGATCATCTTGCACGCAAGTTCTGTCTTCGGCTCCGAAAACGTCGCACGACGACGGGTTCGCGAATATCGACGAGATCGACAAGAGTGGAAAGGATCCGATCGATTCTGTCGGTGGCTCGTCGACGATCGGTGATAACGTCGACGTAACAAGCGACAAGTCGAGCCACGACGGTGAAACGCGGAATTAGCGCCTTCCCGCTTTGGGGATATCGCGATAATTGGCCGGGAATATGTCGCGTGCATCGAGCCGCCGTCGTCCATTAACGATCCACGATCGGTCAGACTCGTTCGATGCCCAATCACGGGATGACGCGTTTCAAAGGACAAGCTGGAAAAAAAAACTTGATAGCTCCGGTGCTTATCTCATTCTGGAATCGACTTTTTTACGCGCACCGTGCGCCATTCGTGAACGCCACTTTCGTGAATCGAATTTCGAGTAGAATCGCAGATCACAGATCGCGTCGGATCGATTCGTTAATCCCGCTGCAAGCAAACAGGTTTCCATTCTCCTTGACATTTGCCTAGAATATCTCGGCAGAATCGTGATTATCTTTTCACCGGTGGTTACAACCGGCAAGGAACCAACGTCGCTGGTAAATTAGGAATCTGTCAATCGTCGAAATGTCGCTTCGAACTTTATCGAACTGGATGAGCCACTCGTTCACGGAACAAACTGACAAAGTTTCTATTCCAGTCAGTGGTCTTGACAACAATGTTGATCCATTGTTTGATCCCTCGTCGACTAACCCGTCGCTGAATTCACTATCTCGATGGTATTGAACTCCTCGTCTTCCTTTGAAAATTTTCCAAATTTTTTACCTTGTCAATCGTCTATTTTCCTTTTTTTTTTTTTTGTATCAATGATCTCTAATAGCAACGATTCTATTTCGAAAAGATCCGCAATTCTTTCACTTGCAATTTAGGTGGTTATTCGTCGACGATTGCACGAACTTGGTAGCAAAGTGCAGTCGGGTCTTTATTTGGAATTCGAATGGTGTCGTGCGCGACTACTTTACGTTCCCGATCGAATTCCCAAAGATGCATCGCGCCGCAGCTCGCACAGTGAAAGTATCAAATGTAACTCCGGTTTCGCGTGTTAAGTCTGTATAAATATCCGTGGACTTTCTCGTTCGGTCGCTAACCATCGAGACGATACGTCGTTAGCGCGTTCGACGAATTTCTAAGGCGTCGTGACACCTTTTTCAAACACGTGCGATGAACTTCTTAGGCAAGGATCACACGCCCAAGAGAAAGCAATAGTAGGATTTTATATTCTGGAAGAATTCCTGTATTCCAGGTAAATTTATTACCATATTTCCAATACGAATTACGTCTCTCTCAGTTAGTTTCATACCATTTTTTGCACTTGCTAGTATCGATGCAATTGTCTGATAATACGTAAATACCGTTGACACAGGTGTTGGATTTCGCTTACAGACAATTTAACAAAGATTTAGGCTTTGAAATGACGATGTTTCTTAGTAATTTGGTAATTCCAAAAATCGGATATTTAGGCGTAAAAACGATGACAAAAGATTGGTATGACACTAACGAATAGCGAGTAATTTTACTCCAACAATCATACATCTCCAGAATTAGAAGAAATTATAGATATCTATGCCATCTGTCAAAGACGATTACTAAGGATTGATCTGGTGTTATGTCAAACTTAAGCAGAACGTTCGTCTGTCTTTACGACCAAAACATGATAAACAATCATGCTTCTTCGAAAAATACTTTGTCTACATTGAGTGTTGTAAACCTTCAAATCAAACGATAGTTTTTTGCGTAATTGCACTTTGTTCGCGTAGTTAATGGGTCTATAAATTAGCATCGATATCGAAAGTAGGACGTTATTGAGAGGACGACGGTCACGAGAAGGTGGATATGTTCCGAGGAAATCGTCGCCTGTCGGGCATCGTAATCACCCGTTAGCGTGATTCGAAGCGCAAGGCGCCCTCGGGCTGGTTCGAAGCCGCAGAAAAAGCGCTCCTGAAGGGACGAGGACCGCCCTCTTCGTATTCTCGACACGTTCCGCCAGTTTTGGCAATGTGCTCGCACGACCTACGACACTCGACGCGGCACCGAGGGACGAATCACTTTTTTCGATCGAGTCAAACTATCCCTTCTTGTCCTTTAATATTGTTCCACTCGCGCTTCGCGAGAAAACTTTCAAAGGAATTGAACCTTCCTTCCGGAATCGCTAAAGTACCTATCAATCAAGAAATGAAGAATATGCAGAAATGAAGAACAAATTTTTAATAAAATTCAAACAATGGACTTGCGTCGATCAGACTACGGAAGAAAGTATCGTCGACGATAATTCGTACTTATTGTACTTCGACCTATTCTCGGATGTTATCACTTACTGTGTGTCTCGAAACAACCTATCGCGTCAGAATTTCGCCAGATTTCTCGATGCACTTCGATCAAATCGAGAATCGGCAATTCATTCTCATGCTTTACGATTCTCGAACAAGCATCTATTTCGTGCCATCGGCATTTTCAACGATCCTTCTCACTTACTGGAACTACAACTAGACGTTAGCTAGAAAAATTTGAAAGAGACCGATTCACATTCGATTTCCCGGCGAGATCCCCTGTTTCCGGTCTCGTTCATCTCGTTCTCGTACGCGAATCGAAGAGGATCTCGGCGTGTCCGCGCGGAATTCATCGGTCGATGAAATTCCGGGGCGATGTGCGGGCAGGCACGAGCACGGAACAGGCGAGGGCGCGCGCGCACGCTACACCGCCGCGAGAACCGGTTTTCCATACGTTTTAATTTCACGCTGACATCGGCGCAATTCAGTTTACACGGATACTGGCCATTTTCTAGCGCTAGTGGGCCGCCGTGCCGATGCAAGCGAAAAGGAAGAGAGAGAGAGAGAGAGAGAGAGAGAAAGAGAGAGAGAGAGAGACGACGACGACACGACGCACCGCGAGAGAGATTGATGCACACGGCCGTGGCGCGCGTATTTTCGAAGCCATCGTTTCCCAGAAACACGCCACGACCTCGGCCCTCCGCCAGTTTCGATCTTGATCGAACGACCGATCGACCGTTTCCATGACCGACGCTTCGTTCTCCTTCGTTTCGGTCGATCCTCTTCCAACGTTTGTACGTACGTAGTTCTCAATGGTGTGATCAATCGTTTTAGAAAACGAGGCGACCTCACTTGTCACTTGTGATTGTTTTCCGAGTCGATCGATGATTACGTGCGTTGACACTTCACGGTGGAAATCTTAACGCACGGTGGGAAAACTCTTGGGAAAATAAGGAGAGAAGATCGAAGGAAAGTATTCCTTAAAGTTTGATTGATGATCACGCACTGTGTTTAACGCACTGACAGTTCTGTGATAAACGAGATTGAATTTCTTGGGGATGTTCGAAGGGAAAGAGATTCGAAAATCGAAGAGAAGCGTTCTTTTGGTTCAAAGACCTTTAGAAGTCGATTGGCCATCGTACGTCGCGGCACTTTGTGTCCATCACTGTCAGTTTCAACTTCAAGCAAACTTTCAGTCCTTATTTTATCAAACTTTCCTCCCCGTTTCCACGGGCACCTCTTCTTTTGCAACACTCGCAGAACAGTTTCACAGTTCTTCTAAAGATCGACGAATCTTCTCGTGTAAGATCGTAAATTCTCCGGAACCGTCGATCTTTGCACAATTCGGTCGGCTATCTTCGTCTTCGTCTAGCACTGTCTCGACGAAATGCCCATCGCGACTTCCATGTGATCGCGCAACCGGCACACCATGCACTTCTTCACGATGCACTTTCAAACACCGCTATTCCTCCAAACTTCTCGTTTCATCGTTCCATTCACAGAGACTGCGTTCCTTGCCTTTGATTCACAATATCGACTCGCTTCAGTTCGTAGACACTATCGAACGAAGAGATATCGGTCAGGCGAGAGAATGCGGAACGACACTTCACGATTGGAACGACATTTCGACACGTCATTTTGACACTGATTTGTTTGTTACGTCGATGGTCACTAGACGTTTGATTTTGAATCGATGCGTTTCGACGATGATCGTTGGATGATGTCGATGAAATTATCGGAGTACTTTGATCGAAACTCAATATACAAGACATATTAGATAAGGATTCTACACTACCTGTCACTTTCTCTATTACGTTACACGTTTCTGTAATATTTGGAATGAAAGCTATCGTCGACCAGTCGGTTTTGTCCTGTTGTCAGTCGGTCGTTCGTCATCTCGAGCTTCTCACTCCACTACTGTTCTAATCTATCGACGTCATATATATTCTGTTGCATCCATCGGATCGGCCGAATCAGCAAGCAGCTTGAGTCATCGCTGTCACTTCGCGTTGTCCTACTGGCTTGCTTCCGGTCACCATAATCCTCATGAAAAATCGTCGAACTTCGATCACTCTATTCCATCCACATCACTGCGCCACGCGATTCCGTCCATCGATCGTCAAGTTTTCCATCGAAAGAAAATGAGTCACTCACTCCGTCCCGTAATGTCACCTCCGTCCAGCGTGTCCAGTCTCGTCCAGTCTTAGTCCGTTCCTATCTCGCGGCCAAAGAAAAACTCTTACTTCGACGACGGTGTTTTGATTCTTGAAATGAATCGACTCACCTGCAGTATGTATCCCCGCGTGTAATCCTCGTACGTCCAGCCGAAAGCGGCTAGTAAACGTGTCACTTGCGCGTGCTGCAACTGGTTGAACAACTGATCGAGCAAGATCTTAAGGCGGATCGGTAGTGCGCGCGAGCCGTAGAGTACGAGGGATGCTACGTCAAACGCGGCCGTCGGCTCGACACTCTCTGAAGCCGGTGGCCTCTCCTCCTTCTCCGCGACATCGCCTCCACCACCAACACTGCCACCACCACCGCCGCCGCCCCCACTTCCACCGTTTCTGTCCCCACCGTAACTTCCCCCACCGATCAACGCGGCCCCACCACTACCACTCGCATCGCCACCTCCGCCACCGCCTCCTCCTACTCTCGACGCGGTGGCGGCGGTCGTCGTCGTCGTCGTCGTCGTCACCGTGGTCGTCGGCGTCGCCTGCTTTACCCTCCCTCCGCCGCTTTTGTCCTCCCTACCAGTGGCACGGGGGCTGGAGACGACATCCCCACCAGACGACAGTCGCGCCAGCGCTGCAACACACAGTGAAAGAGAGACAGGTTAGAAAGAGAGTCGTCCGAGAGCCGCCGTCGTTGCGTTCGTTCGTTCGTTCGTTCTCGACGCGCACCGGATTAGCGCGTGTGTTGGTGACCGTGGACAAACCTCCCCCACCACTCGACCTGCTCGGTGGCACCTCCTACCCCCGCGCCACCTATGCCCCCCACCCATCTTCGTTCACGGTTGCTGTCCTTTCGTTTTGTTCCTGTCTTTCGCGGCCTCTAGCCCGCTCCGCCGATCGTTCCGTATGTCTCTCTCTCTCTCTCTCTCTCTCTC